GAAACTTGGCGGGGAAAGACAAGGGAAGGTACGTACGGGCACGGGATAAAGGGAGGAGTGGGGACCTGTGGGAGAGGGGTGCTGGAGGGTGGAGGAGCCATGGTCGTACATCACCAATGGTATTTACGACGTACCATCGTAAATCAATGATCGCACGAACAGCGCGGTTCAACGAAATTCCTTTTCCCTTCGTATATGCCCCCTTCCAGCTCCCACCCCGCCGTCGTCCTTCTTCCTTCCGACCATTCCTCCGCTTCCTGTACGCAACTCGATGTAAGGATCTGTCCCTCCGTGCATCGCCACGGTCAGAGGATGTCGAACCATAAGAATCTTTGAAGGAATCCCCGCCCGTCTGCCCGGCACATATATCAAAGATTTATCTCGGCAACGACAAAAACTATTTGTCCATGGTATCAGAGTTTCCGTTCCCGCTGACTTATGTAACCGGTTCGCGAAACGCCAGCCCGATATCAAAACGCGTGACTTTTTCCGGCCATATGGTACACCCAAGCGGTTTCGTCTTCTCCCACGCCCGCCCCGGAGATGAATCTTCCTTTTTTTCTTTTCACTCGTGGACCAGGCAACATTTGTTAAACAAAAACGCGGATGCAGCGCGGTATGAACGAAGAAATGAGAGAAGAAAGATAAAAGTAGCCTGAACGAGCCCCAATGCATTCGGACCCGAAAAGGCGATGGACCATAAGGGTACGCGGTCAGTCAGTGATGCCAGGCAACCGAAGCATTGTTTGTCGAGGCCCTTTAAACGTCATTTAAGCTGTGATTCTTGCCGGGCCGGGAGGGATCGTTTTAACGAGGTTTGGAACAGACCAGGTCAGGCCTTCTCTCCGACGAGGCACGATTACGCCACGAGGCGTTGCCCTTTTGCGACTCGCAGTTCCAGCTCCTCCAGAAATCAACTGTCTCCGTTCAAAGCGAAAGCGAAGGTGCCTTGTTACAGCTGTTCCACTCCGCGTAATCCGTGGAAAATCAAGTTGAATTAGGGACCCCTGGTTATACGCCGTGACATCCTAAGACTATCACGGAGAACGAGAATTTTTCGTGACTGTTTTCTCTCCGCGTTTGCAATGTAAAACCTGTCCTTCGTGAGCGTGTATATCTAGTTCCCGCAATGAAATGCTCTGAACTCCCTTAGTTATACACAATTTTCAAATGTTTGCTAATTATTTTTTAGTAGAAAATAGCGTAAAAACTATTATTTTAATAAATCTGTGTCGCAGAGTAACTAAGCAGAGATCAATGTGAAAAACAACTCCGAAGATAGCATCTACAAAATTCTGAAACTGCAGTTACTGAATCAGTTGCCAGCGGAGTTTGAATGAATGATCCAAGAGTTTGTTGCCGGGGAATCCAATCGATTCAATTTTTACACTAACCGCGCGACGAAGACAAACGGGGCCCCCTTTGAAACGTGACGAGGGTGGAGGTGAAGGCAGCGGGGAACGCGTGGCATCTTGGCAAAGACAGCCGTAAAAAAGGCGCGGCAGAAAAGACGAAAGTGACCCTCCAAAGGACTTTGAAAAGAACCATAAAAGTACAATGAGGGGTTAGAAGGAAGACGCCTTTCGTTTTCCATGTGCCGGAATGGAGCAGGGAGGCGTCCAACGTGGGGTCTTCGCCTCCTAGAAAATTCGTGTTTTTTAGCCGGAACGCCGGGAAAGATTACAAAGGATGCGGAGGGAGACAAAACCTTTTTAAGATCTCCGGAGAAGAGCACAAATGTCTGGTGCTTAGACGATGAAACCCTCCAACGCTCGTTACGCCCTGAGTTTTATCATCAGGTTACGCGAACTCCGAACTCGTTCCCGCGGACGACTGTTTCACAAGATTCCGTCCGACGCGACTCCACGTGACGGAATCTCACCATTGTCCCCGTAGTCTTTAGCCTAATTTACCCGGCCGGCTCCCGCTAATCTTATTTGCCTCGACTGAACGCGGTTTAATTCCATTAGCGAAATTAAAGTTCTAGCTGGAACATTTAACTGCGGATCGATGCCTGCTACAACCCCACACACCATCAAGATAAACCACGCGAACGTACGATTCCGAACGAGGCATTCTGAAAAAACCTCGGTCATTCGTATTTTCATATTTCATTGATTACGAAGATTAAACTCGTTAAAGAACAATCGAGCAATCCAAACGTGGCTTTTTAGTAGCACCTTTTGAATTCATGTAAATGAATTCGTAGCAATTAGTTTGATGCTATAATACGATTATTGGGTTTCTCATGTCACAAGAACCATTTTTATGGATCGTTTAAAGAAAAAGACTTTTCTATGGTAACGCTGCATCGCTTAATGAAGGATTTCGCTTTACAAAATAAAAATGAAAAATCGTTATAAAAACAAAAACAAATCAGATTTCCTGAAAATTTGTAGCCTACAGTATAAAGAGTGAACGACAATACATAATGATGACACAAAATGATGAAAATTCCGTCTCATACAACAATCGTCCAATCAAAAATGGGCCATCCATCTCGCGGTAATGAACAAAAAACGTTCACGGTTAAAACAATAAACAGCAGTCACCTGATGTAAATGATGACCCCGTTGGTGCATATCCTTTTCCATCCACGAGGCACTGTAATCGCTTGTTGATGATGCTGCTGCTGCTGTTGCTGCTGTTGCTGCTGCTGCTGTGCAACCACCGCACTACCGTTCATCGTTAACACTACATTTTGCTGACCGGTATTGTCATTATTGTTAGTGTTGTTGATACACGCCAACGACGGCTGACGCGCAGCCTGCTGCGCGCAGGTACCGCCACCGTTGACCGTTGCGCCGGCCGACGACAAACCGTCGTGCGCTGATGATTGACTTTGACTTTCGGGACTGCTCAAGCTGCTATAGGTCGACGATTCACCGGTATCGGAACGAACGGAGTCGCAGCTAACCGCACCACTGCCACCGCCGTTACCGACAACAACGACAACACCACTACCACCTCCGCCGACACCGGCACCACTGACACCAACGACTGACGAGGAGGTCGAGGAAAGCGACGCGCCGACCTGATTCTGGAAAGCGTCCTGTTGTCGACTCTTCTCGTCCATGTCGACTCGTTGTTGTTGCTCCACACTGTCGGCTTGGAAAACACTCGCGGACGTTTGCGTGGGCTCGCTCCCTTGTCGCACGTACGCGACGCACGCGGCACCGTCGTCACTCAACAGACCGACACAACCCTCCCCAAGACTTGCCTGCGCAATCCTAGCGTTATTACTGTAACCGTCGGTCAGTCGGCCAGCCGCAGAGGGATAGATCTCGGTGTGGATCCTCGATGGAAATAATTTGTTTGGTACCATCTCGGTGCCATTCACCCTGCCGATCGGCTCTACGTTAGTCATGGCTAGGCCCTCCGCATTCCCGGTATCGTTCTCCAGCGTGCTACGGGTTACCGCATTCTTGTTGTCGCACGCCGACACCACGCACGTCATCGTCGTGGTGGCTGTCGTACCGCTGGTCGCCTGAATGAAATTCGCCTGCCGGTACAATAAACCATTGTTTGCCACAATCGTCCCGTAATCATCCTCCTCGTCCACGTTACCAGTGGACAAGGCGCGCGCGGACCGACCGGAGTCACCATCGACGGACGGGACGTACTCTAGCTGCTTCAATCGGCAACAGTTAGTCGCCGTAGCAGCGGCGGCGACGCCGCCGACGCCGCTGTTATCGTTACAGTATATGGCGGTTTTGGCGGGAAACGTCGCCGCCGCCGTCGCCACCTGCGGCGGTAGAATACCGGTGTACGTCGCCTGCTGCGGGGACTGATACCCGACTGCGGTAGCAGCAGCAGCGGCGGCGGCGGCGGCATTCTGACCGACCGCCGTCGCGTACGCAAAATTCTCCCCTGATACGTACACTAAAACACTGTTTTGTTGGATCCCATGAGCGTGCTGGGCGCGTTGTTGTTGTTGGTGTTGTTGATGTTGATCCGATTGATCTTGCTGCTGCTGCTGTTGCGGTTGTTGTTGTTGATGATGTTGCTGTTGCTGTTGTTGTTGTTGTTGTTGTTGTTGTTGCTGCTGCTGCTGCTGCTGTTGTTGTTGCTGTTGTTGTTGTTGATGATGATGCTGTTGCTGATGGTGGTGATGATGATGATGACTGTGACTTAGGGGAGCAGGGTGTGTGGACGGCTGCTCAGGCTTGCCGGCCATGGTCCAGGTCCAGCAGCGCTGCAGGTAACCCCGACACCGACATCACTGGAACGCTGCTGTTAGCACGCCTACGTGGAGGTACCTCAAGGTCCTGCCGCATCCTCCGTAAACGAATATAATCGCGCGTGTCGTCTGCCACCCGCCGAAACCTAACTACGTACTCTCGGTCCTCCTTCCTGGCCGCGCACGATCACCGATGCTTGGAATCTCGCAGCTGCCCTTCACAATCTCGTCGCTCGACATCCTTGGCTTCACCGCGCGCGGCACGCCAAACGGATGTTTCGATTTCACCGGCCGGCTCTCTTTCCTCTCTTTCGCGAGTTTCACCTTTTATTCCCGTGGAAAATATCGCTGGGTCACGCGTGCACACACCCACCTGAAACACTTGAGCCACGACGACGGATGACTGTACGGAGTTACGGTAACGGTGCCAAGATTTTAAAACTGGAAAGTATCCGACGGACGACAGACACGCGCTATTCAACGGTCAATGCCCGTCTAACCTCTACGCCGCGGACCCGTACATTTTGGCATTACTACTATAGTTCCGTCGACGCTGCTTGATGATCCATCGAAAACCGCGGTAAAAACGCTGCCGTTGTGTATTTTTTTCACTTATCGTGAATGATTAAAAATTTGTATGAAAATAACAATTATGGTTTGAAGGTTTCACCGCTTAGTCGACGTGACTTCGTTTTACATCTGCTCGGGCTCTTTTCGAAATTGTTACGTGGACCCACTTAATCTTGTTTATAAAAGGGGAATTGTAATGTAACGTCGTAACTTGTCACGGATTCGTCGATAAAATTTTTTAAATAAATTCGATAAAATCCAACGTGGAGAGAATTCGATAAAATTAGAGTAGTCCTTTAAAATTTTCATACTTCGCAGAATTTTGATGACGTACGATCGACGATTATTTAATTTATTTGGACATTACGCTTCTATTGTTGTTGATAAGGTGGGTCTGCGATACGACCGCTCACTCATTTGTCTGGCACACCAATTCAGTCGCGTCGAAACAACAGAATGGGGCTACAGCACTGAACTAATTACGCAGTATACGCTGTACCGAAGCAATAGCATCACCAACCGGACGCATTGTAAACATTACCAGATAGCAACGGCGAAGGTTCGAGTCGACTTTTGGTGGCAAAGAATAAAAACACTTTGAACCGCGAAATAATTAACGCTTGAAAAATGGTCCACGTTGAGGTCGTGTCACTGCCACGGTCTCGTCGCTTTATTCACGGCCGCAGTTCGGATTATTCCGTTTCACATATACGCACTCACTTTTCAACGAAGAAACAATGAATGGAACTGAATTATGTCATCGTGTGCCACTGTCACTAAAAAAATACGCTACTCCGAAACCTGGTTCACACACTAAACAAGAAAGCCATCTCCTTTGACACTGAATACGCACTGGTTAATCGTGACCGAGACACGACTCGTTCGATCGGTAATGGCGCGAATGCACACTAAGTACAAAAAACACTTTATACTGCCATAACAATTCGCGTTAAATCGCACGGACGGACGTACGTTGTGTTATGACGCTGTGTCATCGTCACAGCAGCAGTAGCACCACCACCACCACCACTACCTCCACCACCACTAGTACTACCACCACTACCACCGGTCGCGGTTACGAACTCGGGTTAAGTTAACTAACCCTCTTCTCGACTCGAACACCTGCGCGGCCCGCGCTCGTCGTTTTCACCGAACCTCGCTTCGTGATCGCGTGGAAACGCACGCTTATTATTTTCTGACTAGCACTGTTGCCTTTCCGTCTTCCACTGGTCCCCTGTCGTCTGCTTCGTAATCAATTCCTCTTGTATAACACAGACTTCACGCAGGCTACTGAACGAAATTCCATACTGCGGATGCTATGCGTACGCTGTTTTCGCATAACTGATATTGGAAAAATATGGCTCCCTCCGCATACCCAGAAACCTTTGCGGCATCTCGACTGCTGGCTTTCGGGCACTTGTATACGCACATTACAAAAACATCGACCCTGGCCGCGATTATATCGCCATCGTTAGGCTATTCTACGTAACTCAAAGGCACATTAACATTGTTACCTCTCATGAATGACTCTAATTACGAATGTGTGCGTATTTAGTTCAAGTTTATTACGTCTTGAAATAAAACTGCCTTTTTTCTAAATTTTGAACAATCTACTTCTAGAATACTGTCAGAAAACTGTTATGAGAATCGAAGGCTATTAATTTGTAAAACTTGTTGGTTATTTTAACGAAAGTTTTGTAATTAAAGCAATTTTTTTAACAATAAAAACTTATAATAGAAACTCGAGTATGATTTGCATATAAAGGACTAAAGGTTCAACTTCAGAAGAGAATAAGTACCGTTTGTATACTTCACATTATACTTTTTCCAATTTATTTGACGATGCAAAAAAGTACTAATTGATCACCAATTTATCTATAATAAATAAGATTACAATACATTTCTATTTAAATTTGCTATAGTAACTGCAGACGAGTACGCGACCTTGTGTACAGTAAATTATGCGAATGTATCGAAGACGTATTTAATTTAATACAAATGTTAATATTTGTTACAAATGAACAGCAAAACCGCGTTCCTTTTGAGAAAATATACAAGGCTGTCTCTTGTATTTAAACTTCCAAAAATTAATCATAATTTTACTTTTACTTCCAAAAACGGAATTGTAATTGAATACTGAAAATTTTTTTGTAACAATAAATAATTCTGAATACGCGCGATAGTCCACTCACACATACAGGAACCACATTTTCTTTCTTATACTGTATTATTGTTGAACAAATTTAAAATAATGTTGTTAATATCGTCATACACTAGCATAACTCTTAAAATGATTACAACTATATATTATGGAATAATGTCCCATTAAAATAAAAGCGATTTAGAGATCTGCAATCAAGCTACAAAACGCTTTACTAAATTCGAAAGATTTTCAGAGTTGCATGTTCACCAACAGATTTCTTAATATTTTTTATTAGTTTCGTGTTACTAATATAGACATTGAGTTGAAGTTGATAAGCTCGTGTATTCAATTGTTAATAATTTAGAGAACTTTAGGGAATTACAAATATAGACGAAATATCGGTACCATACGACGGTCTAACTTTATTTCTAGCATTCAGTATGCTTATATCAGTGTTAAGAATCTGCTAATTAATCATCAACAAATAATTTCACAAATGGCAGAATGTAATTCGAATGTTCAACATTACATGATATACAAGTGATTATGTTTGTATTTACTACCAACGTCACATGATGTTACGTTAGATATTGAGTAAGTTCACGTTTCCTTATCACTTTGTTTAATGATAAGTACATCTTTTTTTTAATACTTTCCTACAGCAAGCGATTAACTAATTATAATCAGTTTACTAATTTTCACCAAAATTTATAGATCAATTCAGGAGCGATGATAAATGTATCGTCAATAGCGTCAACGGCCTCTCTATACAATTGAGTGTTAAGTATGATCTTTGCATTAGAATCGTTGGTGATTCCTTACAGTTTTCATAGTCGTGCACATATCTAGACGTTTCTTCAGGTTCTTTTCATTCGTCTTGAAGAACTTTTCTATGTGTCCGCATTTTTTCGTTCCTCTGTTAATACATACGATTCAGAATCGAGCGAATGGGACAAAAGTTTAAAATGAAAGAATGACCATATTTATTGCGACATTGAAGTAATCAAATTAATGTGTGGCACATTGGACTCGCGGAGCACCTTCGTCTTCTTCGTATGCCTGTCGTTGATCTCTTCGCCTTGCTTCCTGTTCTGGATCCAAGTCCGTAAGTATACATTCTTCCGCTCCTTCTGGAATGATAACCTCTTCCCTAGGAGGTAGACATTGTTCAAGCAATGGAATATTATTAAGTTCGATAGTTTTTGGATAATTAACTACTAGTTGAATTATAAGTCTGCCATGTGTGAAAGGATCTTTGTAAATCGGCATTCCTTCGTTCAAAATACATTTTAAATCTCCATGCTTTGTTACAGTTCCAGGAAGTGAAGTTACTACTAAATCTCTTCCATCTAAAGTGCGAATCACTTTTTGGAATCCACACAGAGCTTCTACAATTTCTAACTGCATCCTCATAATTAAATCATTACGCGAGCGCCTAAAAATTAATAAATTCATGTAACAAACAAAATATTACTTTATAAGTGTAACAGTTATTAGGATACTAACTTGAAAACCTCATGTTCCTTCTCTTCAAGAACAATGACGATATCGCCTGGTTCATAGTCTGGTTCTTGATCTCCCTCTCCGCTAAATACGATCTTCTGTCCATCTACCATTCCTGGATCAACATGAACTTCCAAAATTTTTCTATCTCGAATCGTCTTCCTACCACCGCATTGTTTACAACGATCTCGTGGATTTATGCGTTCTCCTTGTCCTTTACAGTCTGGGCACACACTCTGCAAATGCTGTAGCATTCCTGGTCCTAGTTGTTGTATATGAACTTGCATACCAGATCCATGGCAGGTTGAGCATTGCTCAACAGAACCTTTCTTTCCACCAATACCTAAAGAAAAGAAATTAATATGTTTTTTTTATCTTATTCCAGATTTTACGTGATAATTGCTAAGTAATGCCTACCTTCACATTTATCGCAAATAACATTCTTTTGCAAAGCTAATTTGCGAACAGTGCCTTTATACAGTTCCTCCAATGAAACAGAAAGCTGATGTATAACATCTTGTCCTTTGCGTTCTCGTCTTCGAGAAGATCTTCCAGAAAAACCTCCCCCAAAGAACATATCAAAGATTTCCATGGGTGAAGAGAACATACCACCTCCCCCACCACCTTCTTTCAAAGCTTGTTCTCCACCCTGATCATAAATTTTCTTCTTTTCAGGGTTTGATAATACCTCATAAGCTTGTGAAATTTGTTTGAACTGTAACGAAACACAATTCAGTAACCAAATTTCAATAATAACAAATTTATGTGTTTTATTGAGAAATAAGAAAAAAATTCTAGAGAATATTACTAACTCTTTCTCCTTCATTAGGGTTCTTATCGGGATGATACTTAAGTGCCAGTTTTCTATAAGCCTTCTTCAGATCTTCCCGAGTACATCCTGGCTTTACCCCCAACACATCATAAAATGTTGTTTCTTTCACCATTTTTGCTTTAATCTATTCTCTATAGACGTCACTGACTTGTAACTATTATGCTTGTATGGACCCTGCTAATAACAAGAAAATGAAAGTGAAAAGTTATGCATGGATCACTTTCAATTAAATTAGGATCATTTATATCCACAAATTGAAATTATATGTTGAATGATATAAAACATATCTTCCACCACATGTTTGGAGAACTGTCTCATGTAAATGTCTTGAAGCTTTAATTTTTCAAATAAGAGAATGCACATATTTCATTCTGTATTAGTTAATTGCCTAATATAACAGGTTTAGCAGTTATACCTCAATCTTTCAAACCTGCTCATAAAATATAAGTACCGAAATAATATTATTTTTAAGATTGAAATACCACATTTTTTGCAGTCATGTTTTCAAATTTTACAGATTTATGTTTTTTATACCTCACATTAAATAAACATGAGAAATAACCATCCTTACTTTACATTATGGAAATTACAAAAACACATAATTGAAATTTTACTTTTTTATTGCATATGCATCAGAAAAAATTAAATTAGAATGGATGATCAAACTGCTGTAATTTATTTTTTTCAAAAATATATTACATAATAATTGTTATCATATTGATCTGCATGTATTTCATTACATGATGAAATAACATTAACACTTAAATTTTTTTGAACGCCATTACTTTTTTAATAGTAAGAAAATTACTTCATAATAGAACATATAAAACGCAAGAGTTATTTACACAGCTTTACATGTAAATATTATATACTGTACATTAGATTTCGTGAATGTGATACAACATCCATTAAAAACAAACACATTATTAAAAAATAAATAATAAATATGTGACAAATAAAAATGTGTACGTGAGATTGCAGTTTGTTGATCTTTGCATAAAAAAATATCTAGGGATAAAAAGTACACAAAATTAAAAATTAATTCAAACCTTATGTAACGAATAATAAATAGTGTAATTAAGTAAATACTTCAGGAAAGAATTTAATGCTCATAAACACAATTCTAAGAACTAAAGCATTAAACAATTTAATTGATTTGAGAATACATAAAATATAAAACGAAGGAGACAATAATACGAATTTGAATTTTCATTAAATAAGGGTTGGTAAAAATGTGAACTAATCATAACAATACACTGCAATCCGCATAACTATTAAAACGAAGAACTCGAAAAAAAAACTCCTTCGTCATTTAGATTCCCTATTCGACGTCAGGATTGTGCAAGCATTTAAATGCGTACATACATGTTTCAAAAATGGAATTACAAGGAATGACCTTGAACTTCAAGTATTTCTAATTTTAATAATGACACAACATATTTAAGAAAATATAGATTAAAAAATCGTTGCAAATTAATTATATTTAAATATTATATTACATTACACGAAAATTCTTTAATCAATACACGAGGTCTCAAAGCATAAAGACGGTATATTCAGGGAAATCTCTCGTAAATTCTATCCATGTGCGTCTTCGGTTTCAAAATGGCGACGGGAATCATTTTAGACTACCAAAATGTTACTAATTGATATGGAAGCGGAAATAAAAACGTGGTTTCCATACATCGCACAGTCTATCGTGTTATGAACAAAGAACACCACACTTTCTAGAGCCTTCTGGTAACGTATATATGTATACAGAGATACTTGTATACATATTAAAGGCTTGGCTACCGGTTACAAATCATCCAAGAAAAAAATAAGTCTATAAAATAGTTATTTAATTAAGCAAAAAATGTGTCTCTGATTATAATTCATGCAATAAAAATTAATATAAATATATAGCCATCATTGTAAGCATCTAAATGACAGATACAGTTCACAACTTCAACCGCGTTTTGTCTTGACACGAGTTAAGCAATGGGAACATCCACCATTTTTCAACGTTAAAGTGCGAGTCACGGGTGAACACAAGTGTTCGCACTATGATAAAATTAATTGACGCGTATTTCGTAATATTCAATATGCTTAAGTGTACATAGATTTACAATTCAACCTTCAAATGTCCACTTCAAACTCGACAACCGTTAAAGCCATGTTAAAATCAAATTAATATTCTTCAATATCTTCTAATGCTCCACCGTAAGTTGACTGTATTGATGCTACGCGAATTCCTATCCCAGGGAAAATTCATGAGCCCCTGATCGATCGCATAATTCAATGACGAAAATTCAGTCCGTCTGCGCACATTTTCTAAAATATTCTTTCAATTGTTCTAAGTAATTTATTCTTACCTATATTAGCAGAAAGAAAACCGCTTGAGGAAAATATCCGCGTGCTGTAAATGCTCGTTTTGCTCCACGTAATAGTATTTGACGAACTGTTGTAAACGCATAGAACTCTCACCAATATTACCGTCCGTACCCGTTCTCGAAACTTCCTAGGAGAGTAATGGACGTTACTTGACAAGGAACCAATCAGATGAACGGAATACTGCTACTAGCGCTATTACGGTCTTCCTCAGAACTTCACATGTTCACTTTCCTCTGCTCTGTTGATAACATGTCATAAATGCGTATTTTTACATAAAAACGTAAAGTTCTATATAATATCTATTTGAATACTATTTATAATCCTTCGTAAATACAATTATCTGCAAGAAATTTGTTATTTAAAACATGAATAAAAAATTTATTTACGAATACTGTTAAACTTGTTTGATTTATATGAATATATATTTTATAAATTTTAACTCAATAAAATGCATAGAAAAATTTAATTATTGGTATTATTTTAAAGCAACTACGTATTTTTTCATTAAATTTTGTTTGTATTTACAGCTTAAACAATTTCTAGTTAATTATACAAAATTCCTAACTGAAGACAAATATAAAATCATTTCATTCTTAACTGGAACTGTTTTATGTTTTTAAAGTACTTATATATGTTCTATAGTTCTATTCATTTTTAAATGAATATAAATATATACTCTTATAAAGATGATATTGAATAAATATGAATAAAAATTGTTGTTATACCATCGTAGGGATTTTAGTTACGAAAGAATCTTCAATGTAGATAGCGCTTCATGTTTCCGTAAATGTCCTTTTGCTGGCGGTACAATAATCGAGCAAAATGGTATGTATTTTGTATCCAAAAACTGTTGATTAATCATGAAATAAAATATGCCTTTCTTATCTGAAACTATGTAGAAACTGTATAATTATTTATACTATATAAATATAATTTACAAATAATATTTTTGTTAACATTTAAATTGTATATTACTCTGACATGAATCTTCTAACCAAGAATATACATGCTTTTAACATGTCAGTGCAACTGAAAATAAAAATTTTGTTTATTATATTATACAATCTAATTGTGGATTAAGTAATTTTTTTTTTATCTGTAGTTGTATTTCGGAAAATAATGAAAATACAATAAAAATTCGCTGATCAACACAACCTCTAAGTCTTGTTATCGTTTTTATTTACAGACGGAAGGTGCAGTTACGATTAGAACTAGAAAGTTTATGAGCAATCGGCTATTATGTCGGAAGCAAATGGTAAGTATTTACGTGAATTTTTAATATTTAAGTTAAACTTATTTCTGCTGAATTAGTGAAAGTGAGTGATTATCAGTTGTTGTTTAATTATAATTACAAATTTGTTCATACTAGTATGACACTTCTGCCTACTTTGTTACAGGTTGTAGATGTTTTTCATCCTGGCCATCCGTCAGTTCGCAAAACAGAAATAAGAGAAAAACTAGCCAAGATGTATAAAGTTACACCAGATGTGGTATTCGTATTTGGTTTTCAAACTAACTTTGGTGGTGGCAAATCTACTGGATTTGCATTAATCTATGATACATTGGATTACGCAAAGAAATTTGAACCAAAATATAGGTTAGCAAGGCATGGACTCTTCGAAAAACAAAAGCAAACAAGGAAACAACGTAAAGAACGTAAGAACAGGATGAAGAAAGTTAGGGGTACAAAGAAGAGTAAAGTAGGAGCTGCAGCTAAAAAGGTATAATAAATTTATTTTAATTTTAATATAGATAAATGTGACAATTTCAGAATAATTTCTGTTTAATAGTGTCTTTGTTCAACAAAATAGAGTTTTGTTAGAATCAGTAATTGGTGGTGGTACATTTATTAATCATTTGTTGATTAGTGCTTTTTCTCATATTTCTTTATCTTAAATTTCATCTTATCATATTTAAAGAAATTAAATCATATCCAAACATTGAATGTTCATTATTGCATGAATACTTATTATTCATAAATAGGTTATTAACAACTGATAAATACTTTGTGCATACTCATAAAATTTATAAGCAGTGTTTTAAGTTATTTATTATATGGTATTAAAATTGAGAATAATAAATTAAATTTAAACTTTTGTGACTAATATATGCACCTTTAAATCTATAATAAATGTTATTATAATTTCATATTTCTAGTGAATATAGTTGAAGATTACAAGTATATTTCTATAAACATACTGTGAGATATGTTTTCTTAATTCTAGATTCCTTTTAATATATTCTACAAATATTAGTCACAAAAGTGTTAACATGTTCATGTTGGCATGTACCACTGGTGGTACATAGCTAATGTAAAATACCATATATGGAAAAAGCGCAGGCGTGAACGTGTTAACCACTATCATCTAATTTTGTGTCCTTGATCAACTAGAATGCTTCATTTATTATGTATTTGCTACATATTCTACATTTAGTTTTTTAAATTATAAATTTCATAATTCTAATAAACGCACATTTAATGCAAAATGTTTTAAACTTACTCACAATTAAATATTAAAACACTTTTAACTTTCATTTTTAAACTATAATTGATTTATTTAAAAGAATGAATTAGAAAAAATTAATAGTATTTATTTTTTGTATATATATTAAAATTCTGTAGATATATAAAAACAAAACATTTGCATGATTCATATAATTTATTATATTTTGTATAACAAGGACACAAAGATTTATTCATCTTTCTATGTGCATGGTATATGGTGGAATACACTTTTTATTCTAGGGAAAGAAGTAGACAAATGCTCATCATTTGTACTACAAGCCTCGAGAGGGAACTTTATTATGATGCTCATACATGGTCAGCATGTAAAATTCTAAGTTTCTTTTACCCATTTTCTGTAATTATCTTTGTTTTCCCCCCTTTTATATCCTACATTGTGGTTTTCGTATAACAAAGTATTTTTTCTTGACAATGTATATTTGTTCACTTATTTTAAAAAAATGTTTATGTCCATTTATGATTTTTTACATGCACAATGTGTTGATCCCAGTATTATCATTTTTTTCATCATTAACTGTGTTAATGTAGGGTATTCCAATTAATAAGTATTCAAATAGATTACATAAAACTCCACAAACTGAAAAGTGGATAAAAATAATTTATCAACATTGAATTAAATCCTTAACTAATGAAACTTCTTTCCACCTGTATTATATATTTTTTTCTTTTTTTTTGCTTTATGTATGTAGTAGTCATTAAATATATTTGTGCATGTGATTGCGAAAGTGATAAGTATCAAGGATGAATTATTTTACTGACAGTTTTTTTCTTTTTTTTCTATTACAGTAAAACCACAAGATATCATGAAGACCACGATTTGTCTAACATCGACGTAAAAATTATTATAATAATATATTGCTAAAGAATAATGATTATGATAAGTTTTACGGAATAAACGTGTACTCTTCCTGATAAAAAAGATGTAATGCTGTATATTTCTTTTCACTCCTCATGCTGTTACACAAAAAAGCCATACATTTGTGAATATATGTACTCTAAGAATGCAAAATAGTTTATTTTAATAAAAAAGAATCACACATGTTTTTAAGAAATGCAGAAATTTTAATAAATATACAAGGTTCAAGAAATCACATGAATGTAATTATTTGTTGAAATGCATTATTATTCCATTAGGACTTCCACGGATCCTTTACGAATTGAATTGTCATTAGTTTCGTTATCTTCTATCCGTTTGTTTATTGAAGGTGGATTCACGGATGAATCGATCTGCGTGCTACTTTGCGTTGTTATGTATGCGTCTGCTTGCTGCGTCATAGTATCTGCCGTGAACATCGTACTAAGCGTTGCGGCTGATGAAGAATCCGTATTTTCTATGTTAATCGAGTAATCCGAGGTCCCTATAGTTTCAATTGTACTTAAATGTACAGGAGGTTGCATCGTACCTCGAACATGAAAGTTCGACTCGTATGAACCTTCATTTTCAAATTCATTGTACTGTCTAATGTTTTTTCGAATGAAATACCAATCGCCAACTTGGAAACCCCAATCTCGTTTAGGATCAAATGTTACGGTAGCTATATTTTAAAATAGGTATAATTTCAATAAATTACAAAGGTTTATAAAATTATATATGATATAGTAATTTTTCATATTAAAACTTATTTGTTACTTACACAAATTCACACGTAGCCATTCTCGATTTCGTAATCTTTTTCTTAATTGACGCTCGTCCAGGTCTAACACATCTGTTTGCAAAACAGTTGGAATCTCTGTAGTTGTTTGTTGCCCAAACAATGTCCCGTAAAATTGATCCTTTAGATGACCAAACCAATTTCCTATTTCAGAGAAGAAGTTGCCACTTCGAAGGTTTCTTTGTAAACCAATATCTGCTATAATAAAAATATAATATTTGTTCGGTTTTTACGTTTTAAGGTATTGTGATATTACGAGTACAAAAATTCGCTGAAATATAATTTTTGAACTCTCCATTGCGGCTTACATGTATAGAATTGTGTAATGAAATGTAATTCGATGCAAGATCTACTAAGCTATACGAGATTCTATTATCAAAAGAAGACTATCGTAAGAAAAATAAAATTAAAAAGATCTTGACGTAATATAGTATTTTTAAGCAGAGTATGCCATACTAAATAAAATGTTTTAAGTACAACCATCGTTATAATATTATGTGTATGCCTTAATGAAGTATACTGATATATCTCAGTACATATTTTTTGTCACAAAGATATTAAAACATTGATAACTAGTTGCATTAGAGAAACAGGAAATTGATTTCCATTCATTATTACCAAACTTCCTAATTTTCATCGGAATTAATTGAAATACAGAGTTTGCAGAAGATAATACCTCTATTATAAGCTCCTAACGTCGATTGTTGGAAACTAACGAGTACCAAAAGGACAATGTGGAATTGCATTTTTTCACTGTAGGACTGATCTGCGTGGAAACATTCTTCTTTATATATATTCTACCGGAAACGAGTACCCATTAGAGAAACAATTTTATCGAGAATCAAGCAAATTCAGTACAATACTTCTATTCAACAAAAATGACCTTGCATGTTCCAGTTTTGAAGAAAAGATTATTATATAGGTAAATGGACATGATGATAAAGCAGTAATAAATCTTTATTAAGTATGAATTTGGCGTGTAATACGATTTGTAACATGTATGGGTTATGAGTAGTTAACACTTAATTAAGCCTTAATTAAACCTTAATCAGACTTAATTATTTATTTGTTTCATGGAAATTACGTAAGACTAATAAAGATAAGTAGACTCATATTCATTATCCTTTAAACAAACTATGACTAGGTTTATCCTAATTCAGGCTGTAAAAAGCCTGTTTCTACTCATCAACTTTTAAATTCAAATAAATTAGCAATAATGATTATGTGATTGAGTAAGCAAAATGATTGGAAAAAGATATGCTTGTAGATTTAACCAAAACTAACATACGTCCATTACAATGATCAGAAACGTCTACTTAAACTTAGAAGGTTAACTTTGAGATAATGTCCATTTTGACTTAGATTGTTTAAAGCTTTATTCGATTTTTCAACCTATGAAGATTAATTTGACTTTGCAATTTTTTGTATTAAATTTAAAAAGAAATTGGAGTGTTTCTTTGAAGTACACTTTCAAAATATGTCTAGAATAATGGACGCATAAGAGTCCGGATGGGTCTAAGCTTCGTTATTTGTACAAAATATTAAAAATGTCCACTCTCCAAGGTTCATATCTAGACAAAAATTTATTGCACCATTCGGCTTGCTATCCGCATATTAGATTAGAAATAAATAGAAAGTCTATTGATCATTAATATGCTAAGTATAAGTCGATAGATTGAATAAAAAAAGGTTAGTCGGTTTGTCTTTTTCCATTTATTACAGTAATGCTTCAGTTGAAATACACATTATCATCATAACAGCTGTTTTCTGTACTATGCGTGTTCCAGATGTATACACATGTCGTACAAATATATTGATCTCGACCTAATCTTTACGAAAGACCGAATCCTTATACATAACAACACGGGGATTGTTATACAATCATGTAGTTTTTAACTATGTGGAAACTGATAAGTCGCTATTATAAATGTGTGTAGGTCACAAACGTCGTTTATCATGTTATAACGGAATGATTACTTCGTTCTTTTGTTTTGCTTCATAGCTAAGGTTAATGTTACTGTATAATAATATTTTATTCGAATAAAAACAAAATTATAGACTGACTAGTTTTAATGTGATTTTCAGATAGTAGCAAAGGTTTGTTAAACGACCCAAGAGTATCTTCATCGCCAAAATAAAAATTAAATTTCAGTGATTTTGAAATCGTTCATAAATATTTAATTAAATAAGTTATAATTTTATCATTCTCCGCATTATTCAACAAAGCTTCCAGCCTAACAGGCTCATTATCAGACACTGCATCGAGGTGACTTGGAGTAGGCGAATTACTAACTTGGGCCACATGTTGGAATCAGTTCGTCCAATGCGACACGTTCAGATATTTCTCATCGAAATCCACATTACTGAAAATTAAAAGCTTTAATTTGACTGTAGGCAAGTCTCCAAGTGAGGTTTATTCAAGTAAATATATTGTTGTACCCTGAAAGCTTGTTATTGTGCATATATTCCTGAAATGTCAGCATACCCAAGAGTGTATGTCAAACATCTTGGATTGCAGTACGATTGCTGATTTTACGAACATAATCAACGTAAGTATATAATTTATATAAAAGCAATTTATAATGAAAAGTCTAAATGCTTTGATCTGGGAAAACGTATGTTTTTCAACAAAATCATTTACGCCATTAATAGGTTAGAACTCTTCTCTGCAAGATGCTTGTTGATATCAAATGTAACCTATTCTGAGTATCTCACGAAGAAACACGAGAAAAGTGTGTAACATTAAATGATATTAGTTATTAATTTATTTAACATTATCGATATATTTTATACTATATATGTAATAACATATATCTATATCCAAGTGTTATTCAATCTTACAATGTTTACATAGTTGAAGAGTCTTGTTATCCCATAAATTTGAAAGGGAATATGTTCAAAGGATTGCATAAACGAAAATCATTTTAGTTGTGATTTTATGCTCTCATATCAGCTATGTTTGTTGTCTTTAACAACGATATAAAAGTATTTTTGAAAAACTTCATACAATATTTGGATTTATGACAAATTTTGTATGCTACCAAAGATGATTTTTGACAAATTGTGGATACCATGTAATCTAGTACTTAATAAATTAAATTAATATTTTATCAATTTTGTAAAGATTTATATACATATTTAACAAATTGTTTCACAACCATTCACTAAAGTCAAATTACAATTTGCGGAATTGCTAATTTTTATATAGGAATATGTAAGTCCTTCATTTCGAAAAGATATACAATATATATTTAACTATTTATATTGTTTCAAACTTATTACTTCCATTCAAAGTAGAATATTATATGAAAAAAGGTTCTTTCAAATGTTAGTTCATCATAATGACAGTAGCTACAAAATATCCCGGGTTTGTTGGTTATGTATTTACTACCAGTGAGTACTAGTAGTAATTACTAGTGATTAATATCATTTTAAGATTAAATCATATTGTTAGCTTAATTTGTATTACAGTTAATAATATGAATGTTTGGAAACTATAAAACATGAAAAGATTAGCAAATGTTAAAGTAAAATTAATGGAAAGTTGTACACCTAGGTTATCATAAAAAAATATATTGGTTTCTAGTATAATAATAATATTTTATATTAATGGAAATTAAAACTTAAAAAATTCTAGAACGGAATTTATCCCTGTTATTTTTACAACGTAAACATGTGATTATAATCTGTAGTATATTTTTAATTTCTTGAAAAAATATATTTACAAAAATCCTCTTATAAAACTAACCTCAAAACATATTCATGTGAAACTGATTTATACAAATTTCATAATTGACCATAAATTATAGTTAAAAAAAAGAATATTGCAATTTTTATTTTAATAAGTAAACTAACTAAGATAAGTTGTTGCGGAACCTTGTTATATACAAAAACAATAGATATTTAATATATACATTCGATAAAAGATTTGTGTCTTTAAAATTAATATTTTTAAACATTTTTAATTATTCTTATAGCTGCATTTAGAATTTTCAAATAGTAAAAATATTATTTATTTAAGATTTTATTAATTATATTGAAGTAACAGCAATCAAATAAATTGTTCATTCTATTTAGAAATAATAGGACAAATATAGTATTCAGTATTAAGTGTATTTAAAAAAGATACATTTGGTTAAATAATGTAAAAAACCGAGTGGTTGTCAGTAAAGCTGATTTAGTCGTGTAAGAGACTGTTAACGAAGTGAAAGCAAACACGAGCGTCAAAATAGTGGAGGAGAAAACAAAATGTCCACACAAGTTCACTCATTTGCAAATTACCATCTTTAGATATACTGATTTAGAACTTGCATTTAGGTCTTTGTCTTCCGCATCTTCAATTAAAATGTCAGGGAATGGATCTGCAGATCAACAATGTAATAATTATAATAAAGATGAAGCAGTTAAGTTACCTATGTTAATGCCATGTCTTGACACTGTATGTGTACCTAAAGTAGAGCCGTGTTATAATAGAACGTCTGATTCGAATGAAGATGAATCGAACATTGTAAGTACAAATTTTTATTATTTAATACGTCGAATATTGTGAGTATAATTTTGTAACTATTTAATTATTTGTTTCATTCTTCAATTTTTTAAAAATATTTAAAGTAATTAAATTAACCTTCATTTAGTATGTAATGTTAAATTCACTGTTTTCTATTGTTAATATCAACGACACACGTTGATTTGAAAGTGTCTTTTTTACTTTTATTTACTTTATATGATTACGCTTGCAAAAGTTGGAGGAAAAAACAACTTATTTCTCACTTGTTTTTTTAGCGGGAATTTTAAATAAACTTGCAAGATCTTTGTTACTGATCGACATTTACTTTTCACATAATAGTATATATTTTAAAATAATATATTTATTAATAAAATGCTAATAAAATTTTATTTTAGTATTTAAACATAGAATTACTAAAAAGAAACTATTGTTAGTAAGTAATTTTAGAAAATATTGCAATTGTATTATCTATATGTATAAAGTAAACTTTAATTATGTACAATTATTTATACACAACAACTGTAAGAAATATGATAAATTAATCATAATTTTAAATTAATTCTAA